TGGGAGGAAAAAAAAAAAAAAAAAAAAAAACACTGCCCGTACTGTGATGATACAAGTTGACTTATGTGGTGATGCATGTTGAATTATACAGAAATTACATGTGACATCTCTGTCTCGGCAGGATACTATTTTGAGATCCGCTCCATCTGTGCTATAAGGATTAACACCCAGGTGAGTTACACACACACACACACACACATTAATGTGTGCAAGTTTTCATATTATGGCTGGCAATTTAAAATGAAGCAACATTGTGAACATTCGTTTGATTTTCAATTTTAATGTAACTATTTTCTTGATCGTTTGGTGTCTCGCAAATCGCACATATGAGGCGCTTCAGTATGATTCAAACTGATTCAAATTTCAGAAGCAAAAACAACATTTGAACTTTTTGAAGTCAGTTTGGCGTGTTCAGTGAATCGATTCGTAAATCAGCATATGTGCTTCACTCCAAAATGTTTGTGGACTCGCAAATTTGAGAGCAATAAAACACTTTAATAGTAGGATTCAAAGCAATACACACTATTGAAATTATTTTGTACATTTGATTCATTTCAGTGGAAAAGTGTTTATTTCATTGAATTGATTTGTAATTGATTTGTTTTGTAGAACATATGTGCAGTGGCAGAGCCAGAGGGGTGTCCAGGGCACTGGCACTTTCATAATAGGAAACAAAGTCTCAGCATTCAAATTCTGTTCGTTTTGTTAAAAATTTCAAATGATAAATAGAGTTTTGGAGCTCTTTAGTGGTGGGACGGTTCACATGCGCTCCCGCTTTGCCTTAGTTCAAGCGAAGCAGGAGCGCTTTCTAATTAGCATGAAATAAACATGAATGATCATCCGAGGATATGTTGAAAGATACACTGCAACTTTCTGAATGTACAGTGTCTCATGTGATCACTCAATGAGTGTCTCAACCGCGGAAAGACAGCAGCTTGAAACAATGTCACATAACCTCAGAAAATCCATTCAGTCTCCGTAAACTAGTATGAAAAATGTACAAAAATGACATTTATTATATTTCTACTAGTATTATTACTCTTATTTTTTTATTGAAATTAATAAGTATAAATAAAAAGTTGTTATAAAAATGGTCTAATATAAACTTGTATACAAATCAATTGTTACTTTTAACCTTAACAATGGTTCCCTGTATAGTTTAGTTTAGAAAAATTTAGAAAAAATAACATACTTAATTGCAAGCTTGTTAATTATTCCCACCAATAGGCCTAATTCTCACTCCAGGCTGAACTCAGATGTTGGCAGCCCTGTTTGAAGTAAGCTGAAGTATTAGGTATCCTGAACAACATACAAAATTCACTGTATAAGTTCATGTTAGATCTTTTGCTCCAACCGCTGCTTAATCAGATAATAGAAATAAGAGAAGTAAGTTTCAATAGACTAAGATTTGAAGTTACGGTATAGGATTGTATAGCTAATGTGGGGTAATGTTGTTACGGGGCGAACGAGACGCGAGACGTGCGGATCCATGTGCAAGGCTTTATTTACAAAGGCGTGGTTTTAAAGAGGCTGTGCAGCAGATGCAGGCCAAAGGAACCACCGATTACAAATCCGGCTTTCACTTCGCCTTCAACCAGCTGCTCAATGTGAGTGTGAACACAATGTACACAACAACTCAATCGACAAAACCTGATGCATAGTAAGCAGGTTACAGTCAGGAACTTACAATGGAAGTGAATTGGGCCAATCTGTAAATGTTAAAATGCTGTTCAAATACAATAGTACAGCCATAATATAAGTATTAACATGATTTTAGTGCAGAAAAATCACTTACTAACCTTTTCTGTGTAGTTATATCCATTTTTACAACTTCATTGCCATAACGGAACACCATAAACTCTAAAACAACTGTAAAAATAAGAATTTAATGCCTTTAAAATATGCATAAAACTTTTCGACTTCTTGAGTCAGTTTTGACATGGTGTAATTTAATCTTGTAAAACATCCATAACTTAATAATTTCATATTAAAACCATGTAGTACCTGATTCATAACATGCAAATATGCATAACATCACTTGTAAAGCCTCAGTTGATACCCGGGGCAAAATTATCCCGTAAATATGTAACTATTTTTTTATTATGTCTCTTGAAAAATTATTTCAAAAAATGTGGAAAATATATATTTTTTGGTTATTCGTAACACATTTCCGAAATTTTGTTCCCATACTAAAACTATGCAATTTTTAGACATGTTATATACAGTACCTCTCCAAGCTCAAAAATGACCTCAAGGCAAATCGTGAGTTAAATAGCTGTTCAGCTTAAATAATACACAAGTTTAAACTTGTTTCCTTAAAATTATAAGCATCAAATTTCTGCATTTAAATCATTCAAAAATGGGTCCCAATCACTTGCATTTTAAGAATTGCACCATAATGTACATAATGTACATAAATATAAACAAGGTCAAAACAAAAAACATAGTTCATTTGATTAAAGAAATGTGATGATTTATTTCTTTGCTTCGGACACAGTATTCCAATCTTCTCTCTTTCTGTTTCTCGTTCTCCTGCAGAAGACGAATGTTCCTCGAGCCAACTGTAATAAAATCATCATGTTATTTACTGACGGAGGGGAGGACCGAGCTCAGGACATCTTTGAGCAGTACAACTGGCCCAATAAGACGGTCTGATCATCACCGCCCATACCATTTCACATGACATGATATGATTTATATCTTCTTTCTCTGTTGAGCGTCTTTTATTTCTGGTGTGCCGTTGTCCTCTGGAAGTGCTTGTTCCTCATAATTAGCCCTTTCCTCCAGCGAAACCGCTCGTTTCCTGTCTAATTTGCCGGGGTAATTGTGGGATATGTGATGGTCTCTGCAGGTCCGTGTGTTCACGTTCTCGGTGGGGCAGCACAATTATGATGTCACTCCGCTGCAGTGGATCGCATGTGCTAATAAGGGTGAGACACATGCTCATTTGGAGGAGACGCAAAAAAAAAAAAAAAAAACACTGCCCGTACTGTGATGATACAAGTTGACTTATGTGGTGATGCATGTTGAATTATACAGAAATTACATGTGACATCTCTGTCTCGGCAGGATACTATTTTGAGATCCGCTCCATCTGTGCTATAAGGATTAACACCCAGGTGAGTTACACACACACACACACACACATTAATGTGTGCAAGTTTTCATATTATGGCTGGCAATTTAAAATGAAGCAACATTGTGAACATTCGTTTGATTTTCAATTTTAATGTAACTATTTTCTTGATCGTTTGGTGTCTCGCAAATCGCACATATGAGGCGCTTCAGTATGATTCAAACTGATTCAAATTTCAGAAGCAAAAACAACATTTGAACTTTTTGAAGTCAGTTTGGCGTGTTCAGTGAATCGATTCGTAAATCAGCATATGTGCTTCACTCCAAAATGTTTGTGGACTCGCAAATTTGAGAGCAATAAAACACTTTAATAGTAGGATTCAAAGCAATACACACTATTGAAATTATTTTGTACATTTGATTCATTTCAGTGGAAAAGTGTTTATTTCATTGAATTGATTTGTAATTGATTTGTTTTGTAGAACATATGTGCAGTGGCAGAGCCAGAGGGGTGTCCAGGGCACTGGCACTTTCATAATAGGAAACAAAGTCTCAGCATTCAAATTCTGTTCGTTTTGTTAAAAATTTCAAATGATAAATAGAGTTTTGGAGCTCTTTAGTGGTGGGACGGTTCACATGCGCTCCCGCTTTGCCTTAGTTCAAGCGAAGCAGGAGCGCTTTCTAATTAGCATGAAATAAACATGAATGATCATCCGAGGATATGTTGAAAGATACACTGCAACTTTCTGAATGTACAGTGTCTCATGTGATCACTCAATGAGTGTCTCAACCGCGGAAAGACAGCAGCTTGAAACAATGTCACATAACCTCAGAAAATCCATTCAGTCTCCGTAAACTAGTATGAAAAATGTACAAAAATGACATTTATTATATTTCTACTAGTATTATTACTCTTATTTTTTTATTGAAATTAATAAGTATAAATAAAAAGTTGTTATAAAAATGGTCTAATATAAACTTGTATACAAATCAATTGTTACTTTTAACCTTAACAATGGTTCCCTGTATAGTTTAGTTTAGAAAAATTTAGAAAAAATAACATACTTAATTGCAAGCTTGTTAATTATTCCCACCAATAGGCCTAATTCTCACTCCAGGCTGAACTCAGATGTTGGCAGCCCTGTTTGAAGTAAGCTGAAGTATTAGGTATCCTGAACAACATACAAAATTCACTGTATAAGTTCATGTTAGATCTTTTGCTCCAACCGCTGCTTAATCAGATAATAGAAATAAGAGAAGTAAGTTTCAATAGACTAAGATTTGAAGTTACGGTATAGGATTGTATAGCTAATGTGGGGTAATGTTGTTACGGGGCGAACGAGACGCGAGACGTGCGGATCCATGTGCAAGGCTTTATTTACAAAGGCGTGGTCAATAAACAGGCAATGGTCAGATAACACAGGTATATCACAGGCAAGACAAAGAATATTCCTAAGGCTAGCATGGGTCTTCGATCGGCGAAAAGTATCCAGAGGGCTTGACAAGAGGGGTAATCAATAACACGAGCAATAGTCCAGACGAGGTGCAAACACAGTCCGAAACAGCAAGACAAAGGGTTAATCCAAGAAACACAGGCAGAAGGTCAGGAAACAGACAACAAGGCAACACGAAGTGGCTAGACTAAGACTAGAACTAGGAATGGCTCCGTAATGATATTACGATGATATCGCTAGAAGAGTGATATACGCTAAACAATACTCGGCAGTGAGAGATAGGAATGCTGCGTTCAAGTCCTCCTGGGACGTTTGTACTTACGAGTTGACAAGTCGTAATTACGACGTCAGGTGCGTTCAAGTCAGTTTAGTCGGCACAATATGGCGATGTACCTTCTATTAATAAATTATATTAAAATACAACAGGGTCTGTTAACTCTGCTTATAGAAAATGAAGAGCAAATTGACACGCCCCCAACTCGGAAACTCGGGGCTTAAAGAAAATTTCGAGTTTCCCACTCGTAATAACGACTTTGTAGTGGCGTTCATGTGCGTTCAACTCGTAAATACGATCTATCCGACATGACTTCTTCTTGGTTTTATGGCGAGTTGCAATCTTTGTGCGTATCGCCACCTACTGTGCTATTATGCAATCAGGATTTTCTTTTATTATATTAGTTGTTCTGTCTCAACTCTGAAGCCATCAAGAGTCCAGGTATCGGTTGACGCTGCGTGTTCAGCTCCTCCGTCCTCCACACTGAACCCCTTAGACTCCAAACCGAAACAGAACATCTTTTATATTATATTATTTTATCTAGTCCTGTGCTATATAAAAAATTTTATAAAATCCTATATCCTGTTCTATCACTATTAAATTCATATCCCAATACAAGGCTTTATTTACAAAGGTGTGGTCAATAAACAGGCAAGGGTCAGATAACACAGGTATATCACAGGCAAGACAAAGAATATTCCTAGGGCTAGCGTGGGTCTTCGATCGGCGAACAGTATCCAGAGGGCTTGACAAGAAGGGTAATCCAATAACACGAGCAATAGTCCAGGCGAGGTGCAAACACAGTCCGAAACAGCAAGACAAATGGTTAATCCAAGAAACACAGGCAGAAGGTCAGGAAACAGACAACAAGGCAACACGAAGTGGCTAGACTAAGACTAGAACTAGGAATGGCTCCGTAATGATATTACGATGATATCGCTAGAAGAGTGATATACGCTAAACAATACTCGGCAGTGAGAGATAGGAATGCTGCGTTCAAGTCCTCCTGGGACGTTTGTACTTACGAAATTCATATCCCAATAAATATCCCACATCCTTATTCTTCTTACCTTTATCCTTTAGATATGCTATTAGTTCCTTCCTATCCTCACTATACTTTATACATTCATATATTGCATGCTCAATTGTTTCTTTCTCACCACAAAATTCACATAAGCCGTTAACATGTACACCAATTAAAAACAATGAACCATTCAGCCCTGAATGACCCAGTCTTAATCTAGCTATTATCCCCTCTTCCTTCCTATTCCTTCCTCTTACAATCATTTTAGTATCTACCTGCTTTTTGATTTTATATAAATGTCTTCCCTTATAATCGAAATTCCACACTTCTTGCCGTTCTCTTGTAACATTCCTCTTAGTAATACTTTTAACTTCCCCTTTACCTAATGGAACATTGATATCAATTTCCCTCCTAAACACATTCTAAGTGCTCTGTATTGTATTCTATCTAGCTTCTTTAGCAAGGTCTCTGACGCCGCACCATATATCATGCAGTCATAATCAAATACAGATCTAATCAAAGCTTGATACACTTTCATCATTGAAGATCTTTCTGCTCCCCATTCTTTACCAGCTATTGCCCTCATAACATTTAAAGTTTTCCTACACTTTTTCTCCACTTCTTCTATATGTTTTTTCCAAGTGTACCTGCTATCCAGCCAGATACCTAAATATTTGAATTCTTTCACTTGTTCTAGCGGTTTGCCATATATTGGTAATACAATATCATTAGGAATTTCTTTTCTTCTACTAAATATCATATAACATGACTTACTAGCTGATATTTTAAATCTCCAATCTATACTCCATCTTTCAACCTTTTTAATAGCAGATTGAATACTTGAAAGAACTTGGGTCATGTTTCGTCCTCTCTTCCATATAGCTCCGTCATCAGCATAAAGTGCACAACCTATCCCAGGTCCTAAATTATCAAAAATATCATTTATCATAACATTAAAAAGTATTGGACTGATAGCACTTCCTTGTGGAATTCCGACATGACTTGAACACGTCCATGGCTTATGTAGGGTGTGTGATTGGTTACAGCTGTGTGCAATCAGTGCAATGGATGATGGGAAATGTAGTCCGTGGTAATGTGTAACAGTCTGTGTAGTGAGAGAGTCAATATGATGGATGAGTGACCTCTGTTGGTGAGTGAACGGAAGTTTATTGACAGGATTTGTGACAAATGTGAAGTAAAATCATAGGGATTTATTCATGCTTTTTTATGCCAGATTGGAGTTATAAACTGGTTTTCTGTCATAGTCTATGGACCCCCTGAATTAGCCTTGGCCTCCCCATGTATAAAACTAGCTCTGCCACTGCTTATGTCACTCAAAGATGTTTGTTGTCCCACAACTCACAGGTTTGAGAAAAAAATAGTGTGATTCAAACTGATTAAAATTTCATTGAGTTGGTACATTTGATTCTTTTTTGTTTCATTGAATCGATTCATAACTGATTTGTTTTATACGACATGTGCATCACTCACAAAATGTTCATTCCCACAACTCGCAAGATTGTGAGCAACAAATGCTTTAATAGTGTATTTCAAACTGATTCTGACACTATTTATTTTAGTGAATCATTTTATTTCTGTGAATTGATTAGTAAGTGATTTGTTTTTTACAATGTATGCACTTCACTCGTCTCTCAGTTCACAAGTATGATATAAAATTCAGTGAATTGATACGTTTACATATTCATTTCAGTGAATCCGTTCAAAGTGTTTGTCTCAGTGAATCGATTTGTTACTGATTTGTTTCATAAAATTTGTGCGCATCAAAAATGTTATGATGGGAGTCTCTGGTTTTATTAAAAGATATATTGGTAAATATTAATGTTTATTAGTACGTATTGTCATATTGGTGCATGTAATTAATTAAATTATAATTGTTTCTATTAAAATTAAACATCATCATCCCTTATGTTCATTTAGTAAAACAAAAGCATGCCTTGATTATTTGAACAAAATTTTACTTAGTTTTTTGTCTCGTGGTATACATTCTATGGTTCCTGTGAACAGAAAAAAAAACATTCTTTTATTTCAGTGCAAATACATAAATACTGAGATATTCCATTTAGAAATTATCAAAAATTATCAGTCTATATATTATATTTTTGCCATATCACTCAGCCCTAATACACACTCAAATAACGTATTAATGAAAGGCAAAATGCTTAAATGAATGTGTGTGGCAGGAATATCTGGACGTGTTGGGCCGCCCCATGGTTCTGGCAGGAAGAAGTGCCAAGCAGGTGCAATGGACCAACGTCTATCAGGACGCGCTGGTGAGAGTCGCTTCGACCCGCCTGCTGTGTGTGAAACATACGGCCCGCTCTGATTCCGTCATACTCTGATGCCTCATAAAACCCCGTGAGTCTGAAGAGTGTGTGTGATGTGGTTCGTTAACAGGGTCTGGGGCTGGTGGTGACGGGGACGATGCCGGTGTTCAACCTCACTGTGGACGGAAACTCTCAGGTGACGCTCAGTCAATGACGGATCAGCACTGACAATGAACTCTCTTGTGTTCATTCATATCATTGACGGCAGTGTTTGTGTGTTCAGAATCAGCTGATTTTAGGGGTGATGGGGGTTGATGTTCATCTGGATGAGCTGAAGAGACTCACGCCACAATACAAGGTGAGGTCATTGACACTGAAAAACCTATGACTGATACCCTGAGCTACCTTGACAGTTTCGTTGTTCTAGGTTTACAAAACCTTGTTTAGATTAAGTGATTTTATTATATTATAATTTGTTATTTTATGATAAACATATATCATCAATATGTTTTTTAAAATGTGGTTAATATGATTTTTTTAGGAATCTGTGTCTGATATATATTATTAAAACTTCTAGTTTTGTAATGATAGACTGCTTGTCTAATCAATAAAAATGTGTTGGCTCCAAAATCTTTATAACAGTTGAAGCATATTTACTGTTTTGTCAGATATTTAGAGTGGCTTCTAAGTTAATGTTGTATAAAAAAAATGAAATTTTTTGGATGTTTAATTTGCAATCATTGATTTTACATTGTATATTGTCATTATATAAGTCACTGGCTACTGAAAAACTCACTATTAATGTTAGTTTTTTATCCCTTCATAATGAGAAAAGTACGGAGCCCCGCACATGACATGCAAGAAAAAATAAATAAATCGTGCACACGATTTACTGATTCGTTCCCTCGATGTACTAAAACGTGCACACGATTACTATTTCATTCCCTCGATTTGCTAATTTTATAAATTTTATAAATCGAGGGAACGAAATAGTAAATCGTGCGCTCAATTTTATAAATCGAGGGAACGAAATAGTAAATCGTGCGCACAATTGTATAAATCGAGGGAACGAAATAGTAAATCGCGCGCACAATTTGTAAATCGAGGGAACGAAATAGTAAATCGTGCGCACAATTTGTAAATCGAGGGAACAAAATAGTAAATCGTGCTCACAATTTGTAAATCGAGGGAAAGAAATAGTAAATTGTGCGCACAATTTTATAAATCGAGGGAACGAAATAGTAAATAGTGCACACAATTTTATAAATCGAGGGAACGAAATAGTAAATCGTGTGCACAATTTATAAATCGAGGGAACAAATTAGTAAATCATGCGCACAATTTATAAATTGAGAGAACAAAGGGAACAAATTAGGAAATCGTGCGCACAATTTGTAAATCGAGGGAACGAAATAGTAAATCGTGTGCACAATTTATAAATCGAGGGAACGAAATAGTAAATCGTGCACACGATTTAACCTACTTTTTTTTCCTGCATGCCATGTGCGGGGCTCCGTAGAAAAGGAAAACATCATCACAGACTCTTTTTCTTTCTCTCTGTGTGTAGCTGGGAGCAAACGGATACATCTTTGCCATCGACCCAAATGGATACGTGCTGATGCATCCGAACTTGCAGCCTCGAGTGAGACTGATTCTTCATCTGCTCCATCAGAAATCACAGCACAATCACACTCATTTGTGTTTTTATGATTTATTTGTCATGGAAATAATGCCACAACGGTCCATTTTTGTATTTCATATTATTTTGGGGATGCAATATGACCCAGATGTGTTCAGGATGGGTTTAGTAATTTTCATCATGCTTATGATTGTGTGTTTGTCTCAATGTTATTTTAGAAACATATTATATGTTACTATATATACTATATATATATATATATATATATAATTATATATAAATATATATATATTATCATGGTGAAATGAAGTAGCCCAAAAAAGTGCTGATTAAACATGCTGTGCTTACATGTCTTATGTTTTTTTTTATTTGGTTTTATTTTTATGTTTTTTTGTTTAATTAAATTTTTTTTTCAAATAAAAATAAATAAGATACAAATAATATTTTATTTAATAAAAAAAAATGTAATTTAAAATTAATTAAAGAAAACTAAATTAAAACTAGCTGAAATAAAATGATTTTTTTTTTAAGTATATTATTTTAGTTAACTTTAATATTAGGTAACTTGTTTTGTTTTTTTATGGTTTTGGAGGAAGAGGATTTGCCAGAGCCCGTGACGCTGGACTTCCTGGATGCAGAAGTAGAAGACAGCAGCAAAAAGGAGGTGCAGTCTTTACTAACCTAAAGTGCTGATTGTCCTCGTTGAACTTGCATCTTCCTCTGTTGTTCATAACAAATGAATCATTGCTTTCGGTGTGGGCGGCACCAGCACACTCACTTCATGTGTTAAATATGACATTTGGCTGAAGCAGTTGTCTGATCATTTCTCTTAAATCAGCAGGAGCTCATGGATTAATTTTAACATCTGCTTTCGGTTCTTTTAGATTCGTCGGCAAATGATTGATGGCCGAACGGGAGAGATGACAATCAAAACTCTAATTAAATCAATGGATGAGGCAAGTGTGTGTGCCATTAATGTGTCAGATGAAACTAGGATATGTGTGATATCTGGGACATGACTTTCTATAAATGGCTCAAAATTACAGATTCAATCTTCAGATCTACATGTGTATGATGCCTCAAATGATGTCACTGATTGGCAGCATCCCAATTTGCATAACTGCTTTACAGACACATTATTTTACTGTTAATATTAAAGTACATACTTTTAAGTATGTAGAAAGTTAGTACTCCAGTTTTGACGTAAAACTACGTCTTAATACCACAAATGAATTTATTCACGTGTTTGCATTAAAATTTTGGCATCTAGATAAATTTCATTGTTAAAACTCATTCGAAATACTTCACTCAAAAATAAAAAAAATTGTTGAAAATGTACTCACCCACAGGACATTGGCGATGTAGATGAGTTCGTATCTTCATCAGAACAGATTTGGAGAAATTTAGCATTACATCACTTGCTCACCAATGGATCCTCTGCAGTGAATGGGTGCCGTAAAAAAGAGAGTCCAAACAGCTGATAAAAACATCACAATAATCTACGTATTTTAGCTGGAAACAATGGTTTGAAGTTAAAAATGTCTTAATGATGGAGTAGTTTATTACAAACATGCAACTTTTAATCTAACTGATGGACTGGAGTGGTGTGTATTATTGTGATGTTTTTCTCAGCTGTTCAGACTCTCATTCTGACGGCACCCATTCACTGCAGAGCATCCATTGGTGAGCAAGTGATGTAAAGCTACATTTCTGCAAATCTGTTCTCATGAAGAAACAAATTCTTTGGATGGTCTGAGGTTGAATACATTTTAGAAACTACATTTTAGCACGAATAGTACAGGGATCTGTGCATTTTCTGCTACGTCCTACGAAATGTTACAATTTTTGCATGAAAATGTCAGATAATGAAATGTTTTCCCGCAGCGCTACATTGACGAGGTCACGCGTATGTACAGCTGGACGGCCGTTAACGACACTGATTACAGGTACGAGTCGATTCGGCTGTTCAGATCGTATGGTTTGACGTTAAACATGCTAAACTCATGGTTTGTTTTCATGTGCCGCCCCCTGCAGTCTGGGTCTGGTACATATTGAGGGAAAAAGAGAACATCAATGCGGAGAAGATCTTGTTTACATCAAAACTGAAACCAAGCCGTTCACACAGAACACATATTTGACGCATTTTCTAGACAGACATCTATTACTGTTGCACTCGTGTCTCGCACAAGAGAGCCGCATGTTTAGAAAGCCATTAAATTCGAATATAATTCGAATTTTTATCATATTTAAGTACAAAATTCGAATTTAGTTTTTCAGCCATTTTGACAGCCTACTCGTTATTAAATATTACAGAACTACAATAAAATATTATAGCAGTCATTTTTTAGCTCTGATGAAATATTACAGCATTTATTATTAAATGTTACAGCTCTAATTAAATATTACAGTATTGATTAAAAAATATTACAGCATGCGTTACTAAATATTATATTTCTAATAAAATATTCCAATACTGATTGATAAATATTTTAGCTTTCATTGCTCAATTTACGGTTCTACTTGATATTACAATAGTGATAAATATTACAGCTTTCATAAATATTACAACTCTAGTTATATATTACAGTATTGATTAATAAATATTACAGCATTCATTACTAAATATTACAGCATTACAATATTGATGAATAAATATTTAAATGTTGATTATTAAGTACTACAGCTAATAATTGAATATTACAGCATTGATCATGTGATTATTACAGCTCTAATTAAATATTTCAGCATTTATTAATCAAATTTAAAGAATTGATCACTTACTATTACAGCTTTAAGTATTAATAAATATTAAAGCATTGATTACTCGACGTCACGATTAAATGTTAATTAAAAATAAATATAATATGCAGTATTGATTGTGAAATATTTGATCTCTTATAATTACATATTACAGAGCTGATTTTTATATTATTTTTATATCACCCATAATTAAATAGCAGTATTATATTGGCAAAAACTAATTACAGCAGGCATAATGAATTAATGAATCATCATGAACTTATAATAAAATGTTAATAATTTAATCATTTTATATTCTCGCCATCTGAAATGTGAAGCTGCCTCACACAGATGAATTCAGCAAAACGTTTGTCTCCAGTCATGAATCCATCAGTGAACTGTGAGAAGCTGATGACTGAATGTTTTGTAATGGTGCTCACAGGTGATCAGGGTCTCATTCATAATCTGATCTTGGATTCTGGGATCCTGTGGAATCTCGCGACACGCGTTTGGCAGAACAAGGATCTCAACACGTAAGATCAGGCCCGTCAGAGTCTGTTGATTTACTGGATTAAGTGGATTGAGATGTTGATCAGTCTGATCTCTGCAGGTATGGCTTCCTGGCGCTGTTCGCATCTACCAATGGAGGCGTTACACGCGTTTACCCCAACATGTGAGTGACGGAGCTTCTGACTGGGCTAGTGGACACTTAATTACAATTGCAATTAGCTTCATCGGCATATGTGTGTGTGTGTGTGTGTTTCAGAGCTGCTGAATCATGGGACGAGGATCCCGAACCTCTGAACTCAAACTTCTACCGTCGCACTCTGGACAACAAAGGCTACATCTTCAGGGCGCCGACACGAACCTGTGAGTCCTCATCCCAAACAAACAATAATCGAATCAGTCACTGATTAGCATCGAGTCCACTGCAAAATTCACCAACAACTATACCGAATGACATTATGTAGGATATATTTATACATTTTTAAAAAATGTTTTTGAGTGAATTGTAAGTAATTGTTATGTAAATGAAGATTTGCAAATATATCTAAAATAAATGTGATTTTTATTTTGTAAAATACATTTAAAAATCAGAAATTCAAAACTTTGTACATTTAACTAAATGAATAGCTCTAGTTAAATATCACAGCATTCATTACTAATTATTAAGCTCTAATTAAACAGTACAATATTAATTACAAAAAAATAGAGCTTTGATTACTAAATATTACAGCTCTAATTAAATATTACAATATTGATTAAGGAATATTTCAGCTCTGCTTCAATTATTGTAATATTGATTACTAAATATTACAGCATTGATTGCTCATTTATAGAGCGCTAATTAAATATTAAAATATCGATAAATAAGAATTTCAGTATTTATTTCTAAATCTTACAGCATTCATTGCTAAATATTACAGCTTTTCTTCAATTATTACTTTATTTATTACTTAATATTACAGCATTGATTACTAAATTTACAGCTGTAATTTAATACATTGGAGTATTGATTAATAAATATGATTAAATATTTCAGTAGTGTTTACTAAATATTACATTTCTAACTAAATATTACAGCTGTATTTATATATTTTAGTATTGTTAATAATTATTAAAATATTTATTACTAAATATTCCAGATTAATAAATTAATACAGCTCTACTTCAATTATTGTAATATTGATTTCTAAATACTACAGCATTGATTGTTCATTTTTAGAGCACTAATTAAGTATTAAAATATTGATAAATAAGAATTTCAGTATTTATTTCTAAATCTTACAGCATTCATTGCTAAATATTACATTTCTAACTAAATATTACAGCTGTATTTATATATTTTAGTATTGGTTAATAATTATTACAATATTTATTACTAAATATTCCAGATTAATAAATTAATATTACACCATGGATTAATTAATATTTCAACATAAGCACTGATTACTAAATATTACAGCCCTGTAATGAATTATCACAGAGCTGATTTTTCAATCGCAGGACCCACAATGAAATAACAGTATTATATTAGCAATATCTAATCTCAGCAGCCATAATGAAATGGGTTTTTGTTTTTTATTTGCGATCATTACATTTCATATTATATATCAGGCACCCCATATTGGTCAACCATTATTGAAAAATTCATAAAATTATGTAAACTGAAGTAGGAACATATTTTAAGAAAGTAAATAGTCTATTTTGATCTCATGTTGACTTTATACATTAATATGTGTGATATTCAGCCCTGTATGAAAGTGTTTCACTGTTTTAATGTCTCTGATGTTTGTGCCTAGCTATGGATGATCTGTTAATCTCAGAGAACGGCACTGTGGGGATTTTGGTCACCACGGCCGTGGAGGTTGTGATCGGGGGCAAAACCATGAAGCCTGCAGGTGTGTTTCTGCAAATAGGCTGCTTTTGTCATTCGCTCTCTGATAAACCAGCAATCAAGAGGTGAAAATCACTTTAGAAACTGGTCTGTCTCTGACTGTTTTCATCTGTGTTCCTGTTTATAGTGGTCGGCGTCAAACTGGATTTGGAGGCCTGGGTCGACAAGTTCAAGATCCTCGCCAGCAACATATCAGACAGCAGACAGGCCGCACATAAGGTACAATTGTTCGGGGAAAAAAGGAATTATGGAAGAAAAAGTGGTGAGAAGTGTGGTGAGATATCGTATCTTCCTGTTTGTGCTGTGCAGTGCGGCCCCTCCAGATCCTGTGAGATGGACTGTGAAGTGAACAGCGATGTGAGAGAAACTGCACACACAAACTCTGCATGATAACAGAACATCGTGTCAGTTGATCTGGTCTTGAATGTAGATGTTATGTTTCAGGATTTGTTGTGTTACCTGATCGATGACGGAGGTTTCCTGGTGATGTCCAATCAGAGAGATCACTGGAAGAAGGTGGATGCTCCGATTTTTTCCTGCTTTTGTTAAGTGCACAAAAAATCTTGAGATTAATCACGATTCATGTTAATCTGCTTTCCTGAGTTTGTGTGTCCTCATGTCCGCGTCTGTCTTAGGTGGGTTTGTTCTTTGGCGAGGTCGACCCCTACCTGATGTTCGCCCTCTACAACAACTCAATCTACGCCCGTCATCAGACCTTCCAGTATCAGTCAGCCTGCGAGCCAATGGCCAGCAGCCACACGGGAGCCGCGCACAGAGGATTCTACGTGGTGAGAAACTGATATAAATGATATATGATGCAGCAGTTTGAATCCATAAAGTGCAGAAGTATTTTGAGATTAAAAGTATGTTTTATTCTCTTCAGCCCTCCATTGCTGATTTTCTCAGTCTGGCCTGGTGGACGTCAGCAGCGGCGTGGTAAATATATCTACACTATGTTGCTAAAATGTTCCCTGTTGGTTGTCAGAACAACATTCAGCAGAAATGTGTAACATCTAACGTCTATGGTTTCGTAAATCAGTTCATGCCCTGATAACGTTGACTCAGATGCTCATGTAGTAATGTCACTGGTTTCTTTCAGGTCTGTTCTGCAGCAGTTCCTGTATGGACTCATCTACAGTAGCTGGTTCACCACAGGTTTGTCACATCTTCCTTAAAAACAACATCTTAACCCAGTCAAGCTGTTTTTTTCTGGTTTTATAGGCCACTCTTTAGCTATTCATGCTGGAAGACCAGCTTTAACCAGCTGAGACCAGCTTAGGCTGGTTTAAGATGTAGTTTTTTAGCAGGACCTTCCAAGACAGCATTCTAACCATAATGCAACAGTGCACAATCACACAAACAACATTAGCATGCTGCTAAACTATTGAGCCAATACTCCAAACTCAATAAATGCATTTTAATCAGACATTCTCTAGTGATACTTCATAAAATGTATTTATAAATGAGCTGTAAACATTCTGGGATTGCATTATGCACAATTGTGTCTTCTAGAAGATGTCTGGGCTGAGAGTTCGGACACTAAAGGGAGCAGCAGCTGTGTGACGGTTCACAGTCAGTTCTACTTCACCAACACCACCAACTCCTTCAACGTGCTGCAGGATTGTGGGAACTGCTCCAGGTGTGTGTGTGTGTGTGTGAAATTGATTTGTGCATATTTATGCACTATTTTCCCAACACAAACTCTCTTTCTGTCAGGTTGTTCCACGCCAAGCGTATAGAAAACACGAACCTGTTGTTTGTGGTGGCTGAGACTCTGCCCTGCAGCTCCTGCGAGATCGAGAAACTCCTCCCTGTCAGAACAAAGTGTATCCTTCCTTCCCATAATCCTCTGCTCACAAAGCAACACTAACAGATACTGATCTGCTTTTATCCCTGAAATAGTTCTTTCAGCTGTCATCTGTGTTTGAATGATGGATAGATGACAGACGGCGCTTGTGGCGTTTCCTTAATTGTTATTCTCCAGCTCAAGAAGAGAATCCATGTGAGGTGTTAAACTCCGCCCGCTATCGGAAAGGCCCTGACAAATGCTTCGACTACAACACAGAGGTGAAGCGCTGTCTGTTGCTCTGATCAAACACAGTTTGTTTGCTTCTATAAATTATGTTTTGTAGACAACATTCATACAACCATCCAGAACACTTGAGCAATCACATAGCAACATCCTGGCAGAACAGCCTAGCAGCAACATAGCAACCTTCTGCCAACTGCCCACAACACCCTAGCAGCCACATGGTCAAACAGCCAAAACCCTCAAGCAATCACATAGTAATGTCGCGCACAAAGACATAGCAACGTCCTGGCAATTACTTAGAAAACTCAAGTAATCGCATAGTAATATCCTGGCAACTATCCAGAACACCCTAGCAACCGAATAGCAAATTCCTGGCAACCACCCAGAGCACCTATTAGCCACATAGCAACATCCTGGCAATCACCCAGAACACTTGGGGAATTACATAAATATGTCCTGTCAACTACTCAGGATAACCTAACAGTTGCATAGCAGCTTCTTGGCAGCCACTCTGAGCACTCGAAAAACTGCATAGCAACATCTTGCCAACCATCCAGAGCGCTCAAACAGTTGCATAGAAATGTTCTGTCAACTACTCAGAAACCTCTATAAACCACATAGGAGCATCCTAACAACTACCAAGAACTCTCAAGCAACTCTCCTGGCACCACCCAGAGCACCCTAGCAACATCCTGGCAACCACCCAAAAAAACACTTAAGCAGTTGCATAGGAATGTCCTGTCAACTACCCAGAACAATTTAGAACCCTTATAACAACATTTTGACAACCGCCCAGAACGCCCTAGCAACTGCATAGCAACATCCTGGCACCTACCAAGAAAACATTAGAAATCACTTATGTCCTGGCAAGCACATAGCAACATTCTGCCAATCACCCAGAACACCCTAGAAACCACATAGCAACCACCCAGAACACTTGAGAACTAAATAGCAACATTGTGACAACCACCTAGAACACCTTAGCAACTGCATAATGACACCCTAAGCAACTACAAAGAACTCTCAAGCAACCACATCTGGGTAAAACACCTACAGACATCCTAGCAACTACCAGGAACACTCGAACATCCACATAGCAACATCCTGGCAACCACCCAGAACTCTCAAGCAATTGCATAGGAATGTCCTATCAACTACCCAGAATAATTTAGAAACTGCATAGCAATGTCCTGGCAACCACCCAGAACACCATAGAAACCACATAGCATCATCCTAGCAATTGGAACAACTTAAAAATACATAGCAACACCCTAGCAACCTGTGACAAACAACTTGGCTATGTTTATGGTGAGTCTATAGTCAATTTTAACCTAACCGTTTTCTGTTTCTCTGTTTCCGGCAGGAGAACACATCGGAGTGTGGCAGCGCTCACTCTTTACACTGTCCGATGCGAGTTCTGCTCTGGATTCAGTTATTGTCGCTTTACCTCATTCTACTATCGTAATCTGAGTCCCACTGCCTTCGGTGTTCCTGTCCCTCATCCGTACGCCACTCCGGTCCTGGTTTTCCGGCTCTCTGTCTCATCGTGAGGTGCATTCCAGCTGTGTGCCATTACAGCAGAGCATGATGGGAAAACGTGTCTTAGTAACCCCGACATTGTGCAGATCCAAAAAAACAAAACTGTCTTAAATCATTTCACCTTTATATTCGTAAAACGTCCAAAAAATGTATTTTTGCTTGCCAAAAACAGGAAAGGACCTGGTTTGTTTCAAAATACTGGAACACGACACGAGTTTTGACGGTTATTATCACAATCTCGCATTGTGTGTTTATTTGAGTCTTGCTTCATTCTCAATTTAGTGCCAAACCCTGACGTATGTGAATGCTCAAACGCTGGGGACTCGCAGCTTTCATTGAAATATTGTTTTTTGAAGCTTCCTTACCAAGAGAGAATGTTGTATTATTATCGCAAACGGCTTCGTTTAGGAAAAAAATAAAAAGATTTAGATTTTGTTTCGTGTTCATTTAGAGCTTTTGTCGAAAGTTTTAAGGGCATATATTGTGTCTAAAAATTGCTGCCTGGTTTGTTACCCAACAGTGCCTTGGCGCACTTGTCCGAATGGACCAACAATAGCACTGGACGTGGATTCGACTGACCCTGAATGAATGCTGGAGAAATATACGGTATTGAATGTTTACAGTATAAGGGTGAATGTCATGAAACCTGGCAAAAGTTCATATTTCACCCCAAAATCAAAAGATATAAATAGGAAATGTCATATAAAGAAAATGAAGCATATTTTTAGGACCATTAAGATTTCAAAAGCACATTTTCCCTCCAAATCTCATTACCGTAATGCGAAAAAACACTTTTTCTTATTACTGTAATGTGGGGATAAAAATATTTTAACAATATGGTAGCATTTGTTACACTGCCTTAATTTATGATTATTCAAATAGTAAAAAAAACATTAAAATAATGTCACAATGCAAAAAAAAAAATATCCAATGTTCCTACAAATACCCTTCATTTTCTTTTTAAGAGTTTTTGGGTATTTTTCTGTTGATTTTGGGGTGTTTCTCGTGAGACTCGCCCGTGCACGTATTTTGGCGTTCAGTATGGGTTTATTACACTTATTCTACTTGTTCTGTCTTTAGAAAGTCACTCAAATGGTTTTATCTTTTTCTGATGTAAATATGATTATTCCACACTTGATCTAGTTCAGTGTGTTTTAATGAAATGGAATGCAAGCTGATGTTTCGATGTCCCGCTGCATGCTGGGAAAATGATAACTGCTATTAAACTTGATGATTTTAGAACATTTACTGGAAGGACAGTCGACCCTTCGAGCCGTTGAACGGACCAACTTTATCTTCTTAATGAGTCCGTAGATATTATCCAAGGGTCGATATGTATTTATTTTGATTTAATTTAAGATACGGTGTGTATATTGCTTGCGAAATGTATCAAGTGTGAATTTTGAGACGCTTTCATGCTTTTATTGAAATGTTTTGGATTTTATCGCAGATGTTTTGTTGCTTTTCAGTGATTATATATAACATTTTAAAGGTACATTTAGCCAAAAAAAATTAGTTTGTTGTATTTCATCTTTTAACGTGGCCACACTTCCAAAACAAACGTACTTCCAAATGAATGGGTCGAGATTCTTCTGAATTGAACTGAAAGGGTTTCGCTTGACGTATTTTGTATCGTAATGGCTTGAGCAATACTTTGAATTATGTCAACTACGCTGAAATGCAAGTGAGCGCTACTGAATTAGTGTAAAGAGAGCATGAAATCAGTATTGAGCCGCTTTCTTTGGATGACTTTGATTCAGGCTTGTCTTTGAATATCGGCTTAATGTTTGTATGTGCATTATGAGCATTCTAACAGTATGATTTCATGCCAATATAAGAGTATTTATACTATTGTCTTTATGTAAAAAATTCTCAGTGTTACAATGAACTTAATGATGTGAATAGGAATGTTTTCATTCTTTTTTTGTTTGTTTTTTATTTCGTTCTGCAGATGTTTGTTAACTATGTGAAAGGGTTTTTCCTCCCTTTCTGCGGTCTTCCATATCACTTCATTTTGTACAGATGGCTAACTTTGTATCATATTGTGTCATTCACTTCTGGGAGATGTTTATAAGAGAATTGGTGAGATAAAGACATTCATATTTTTCACGTCAACTGGGTATGGATTTTTATTTTTTACTCCAGAATTATGTATTTGATAATGAAAGAGAACAGCAGGTTTTTATTACAGCAGTAAAACAGCTGCAAGTAATCATATTTTATGATTACTTCCTGTGGTGATCTAGGCTTGAGACTTTACTCGGCTGCTTCCTTGCTCTGTAAAGAAAAATAAATATTTCAGTTATTAATATTTTTAATTTTCGTATTTTTATTTATTTGTGCATCAAAGTATTTGTTTTTCATTTATATTTTAGATATTTGTAAATTAGATTTTTTTTAAATATAATTAGATTGTTATTTATTAAAGTATTTAGTTATATAAGTATTTGTTTGAGATTAGAGACAGCAGGTGGCGCTCACGGCTCTTGGCTCCTGGGACTCCTGAGCTTCTTCCAGCTCATGCTGCACCTTCCTGTACCTGCTCACTCTCTTCAAGTTCCCTGGAAAGATCAGCTCTGCTTCTCTACTTTAGCACGGGCAGCTCGCTTGGCCTCCTCTTCCAGCTCCTCAGTATGGGCCTATGAGAATGATGCAAATAATTACGTTTGTTTACTTGGAAACAGAAATTCTGCTACATCATTTTAAATAGAAACCATTTGACCTGAAGTTCTTTGATCTTCTGAAGCTGTGATCCCAAAAGACTGCTCATCGTCAATCTTGCCGAGTAGCTGACTCACCTCAAAGTCCTTCCTGTTTTTAAACACACGTGTCTTGTAAAATGTGCGTTTACACTTGTACCTGGCACAATGTCGCTCACTTTTTGATCTTCTCCTCTGATTGCTGTTTGTCATTCTCCAGATCCATTATGGACTCCGGGGCCAGTTTCAGATCACCCTCAGGCTTCCGCTTGGCTCTCTCATGGTCCATACCATCATCCACTTGCTGCTCAAGTTTTGTCTTGGATTTAGACAAAGTGTTGACTTTGTCTTCCGCTGCTTGTAGGTCATCAAGAGTCTGCTGGTGTGCCTCTTGGAGGGCTTTTTTTCTCTTTTGTCAGTTTGGCAATTGCTTCATCTTGGGGAGGCCATCTCTTCAGTTACTGTTGGCTATGTTAGCATGCGCATTGGCGCTTTGGTCACAAACTCATTCCCAACCTTCACTCTGGGGTAGCACAGAGCTTACAGCATGTCCGCAGAGATGAGGCCCATGAGGTAAGCGATTTTATCAGTCACTGAGGAGAAAATTACCAGATTGTTTGGCATGGAACTTATGTAAGAAGAGCCGAAGTAACTTACAGTACACTTAATCTCAGTGACAGTGCCCTGGAGTAACCTAAAATGTTAAGTGCTTTGCATGAGGAAACAATAGTGATGGTTCAAACCTTATAGCCTTTTGGTTACAGTGCTGATCGTCAACCAGTAAGCCACTGTTGAGTTTACACTGAGGATCTCACTAATAGTCTTACCCTCGGTGCTATCAGGTTCAGCTTGTTCCTCTCTCTGCTTCTGCTTGAACTTCATGTTTCCATGCTGCATCACAGCACCTGTCAGCTTGTAGATGCTTATTTTTTCTCCAGCGCTGAAGCCCAGAATATCAATAGCAGTCTTTTTTTATACCAAAAACAAACACACATTAGAGATGCATCTGTATTATCTCCTGCAGTGTTCTTTTTTCTGTTAAATGGATTTCTGCTCATAATCAATGAATTAAAGACTAGTTATGCAGTTGTCCAAGTACATGTGTGGCAATGAACTCCTCTACGTCATTGATACTCTTGGCTGATCATGGGATAGTCGTAAGGATTGGTGGTGATAAGCAGGGCCTCTGTAAAACATCAAATTCAATGTTAATTGCTTTCTAAGAAATAATAGTACTGCGTTATGTGTTTTAAGAAAGGTTTTGCTTGTAGTCTATATCCGTAAGCTTTGAGGCCACCAACTAGCAATACCAAGTAGCAAACTGTGTTTTTGGTTGGATTTAAGCTTGTACATTATTTCTTTACTTGACCATCAATTGGTTAAGAAGTGCCTGGAGTTTATTCATTTTTAAAGTGTCTTGTTGCTTTTAAATCTGTTTTTATCCAGACTGTAACTTAAAATTATAGCAAAAGCTAATGGTCATTGGCAATAAAATTGCTCATCAGACATTTCATTGGGTTTTTACACCAGAAAAAACTAAAAACCTGTAGATTTCTCACCGAGCAGCTCTGGCTTGTGTAGAAGATATGGTAGCTCCTCTCAGCAGACAACTGGAATGTTACTCTTGACTTTTCCAGCAGATCTTTGATATAAAACATCGACTTTGAATATGTAGTTCATGTCATCCCAACTAAAAAACATATTTGTCTCAAAACAGCATGACTCACAAGTTTCAATATCAGCTGAAGCCGAATTTACTGTACAAAAATAATAATTTTATTATTGTTGTACAGTGTGACAAAAATTACGCTGTATTGATGTGCGCATGCCCAGTAGCACCATACGTATCCCTTCTAGCCTTAACCTCGTACAACAGCAGCCACTTGTAGGGATTGACAGTGACACAGAATTCAAGCCGGAGTAGGTCTGAAATGGAGATGCAATGTCTAAATTTGTTGCCACCCTTTATTCCCATCACTCTTTATTTCCAAGAATACAATATAATGTGCTTAGACTTACCTAGATCATCTATGTTGCATAACGCTCTTTGAGGTTATACAGCACAGCGGGCTGATTGAGGTGGGTCATCATGGCCATGTCCTCATTTTTGTCAAAAATGTGTGGGTTCACTGGAAAGATTTCATCTTCTTGACAATATTTTATAACTCAACAGTTTATCTGAAATATGATGATTACTTGGATGCAGCAATATTCCAATAGCAGTCTACTTTTTGGACTTTCTTTCCCACACAGGGTTTTGACCGTATCCTTGCCACCTTCTTTACTAACAAGATACCTTTCAGGTACATGTTCTCAGGTTCTGACACAAAGTGGGCCGTTTTGGCGTCAAACAGGGTGTTTTGAGCCTCGATCCTCTCCTTTTCTGGCTTCTGAAGGTAAATGGCCGCCGGGCCAAAAAACTCCATTTCACCATCTCCCATGATGGAGTATTTCTGTTACAGGAACAAGAAACATGATTTTATGAACACATTTTACCATATTTAAGACTGTTTAAGTTCTTATTTACCTTATTTCAGTGCCCTAGAGCAGAGAAACTACAAGCCAGAGATGTACGATCTGTTAGAATAAAGTAGTGGACAAAATGTTTAATGTGTTGTATCTTCTTTGCAAGATTTTAAAATGTGTGATTTAATCTATTTTTTTGTGCATGATTAAAAATAGATTCTATTGTCCAAAGAATCAATAGTTTTCCATCTGTATGTAAAGTGAACTTCATCTAACCGTGGATGGATCCCCGTCAGGTCTTTAGGACCTTTCAGATGGCCTCTTTTATAGAGAACAGAGCAGAAAGCTCACACTCTATTTGGTCATGTGAATTTGCTGGATAGGCCGTGACACTTGGCTTCCCGTTTATAGATCTCTATTTATCAATAATGTATTTTATTGCCTTCCTCATGCTTGGAGTCCTTCATATCCAGTAGATTATTGGAAACACTTGATGATAATTTTTTTATTATTATTCTTTAATTAATTAACTGGCTTCACAGACCAGTAGTTTGTGTACAATTAAATAAGAATGACTTTTTTATTCAATTCATCATATGAAAGTGACGTGACATGTGGCCAAGTATGGTGACCCATACTAGGAATTAGTGCTCTGCATTTATCTCATCCTAAGTGCACACACACAGCAGTGAACACACACCCGAAGCAGTGGGCAGCCATTTATGCTGCAGCGCCCGGGGAGCAGTTGGGGGTTCGGTGGGAGAGAGCGCTGT